GTTCGTCATCGTCAACATGTATTCGGGCCAGAAAGTCTAGTGACTCTTCTACAACTAATAAGACCTCTTTGGGGCTGCCATGCTTTGCGATTGTCTGGAGTGTTTGACGAGCATCTGCAGGGTACTCTAAAATGGTCGAGTTCACAGAGAGTAAGACTGGGACAAGTTCTAGTGGCGTTGAATGAAGATAGCTCTACTTCAAGAAAAATATGTAAGTCAAACACATCTAATGGTTGAGCAGCAGTTGACAAACGCGCTGGGCATCGGAATTGGCGAGTTCTTCTAACTTCAAGTTGAACGCAGCCAAGGTGTTCGAAGCTAAGCTTTCCTCGAGTGCTTGTAGTATAACTTTTTCCTATTGTTGCGGGTACCATTTTGTCGGCTGGCCATGATCGCGCTACATCTACTTACTGGCGAGTCTACGGTGCTTAACCTGTTCACCCAATCACCAGCAGTCGAATCCATTTCAGTGCCTAGTATTCGACCAGATCACTTGGGTGATAATTTACGATTTTGAACTATACAAAACGAGATTCCAAGGAAGGCGAGATGTGATTGGTGGCGGTCGCGAGTTGTTGTTTACGCCCAAGCGCCCAAAGCCGGAAGCTAACAAGCCAAGCGGAAACGACCACCACGGCCCGTCTCCCCGGCGTGAACCGGCCTCTCTCACCCTGTATGACTGAACTGAACTAGCCGGACTATAATCTACTTTACCTATCGCTGCTGCGCAGTTCATCTCTAGAAACTACACCAGAAATTTGTCCCAGGCTCTAGCTCGCTTACAGGTTCTCAATCAAGTTTGCTCTGTCCAATTACAACAAGAACTTGGTTACCGTCTATCGCCATACCCGTACATTATTTGACTTCAGACATGGTTGTTCGATTTACTCGAACCTACCTCGTCGTCCTGGTTGGGCTTATTGTGATTATTTCTCTTGTCACAATGACAACGTATCATCCCCTTCAAAGCTATGTTGACCCTTTGTCTGGGAGAATATTTGGAGAGGGCGGGGTAGAACAGTCTGCATCTAGCATCGATAGCTTTAAGCAGATCGGCGGCACACATGGCGGGGTTATCATGCCTAAGCTTGGGAACGCAACTGCCAAGTGAGTTGCATCTTCGTGATTCCTCCAACCTCCACAATAGCCTGACCCTCATGGCAGAGCTGAGCTTGGCCGTGCTACTTGGAAACTTATGTATGTGCTTCGTCCCCAACTACAATAGGCGGAGGACAATAAAGTAACTTCCACTGCTCTGTCGTATATTTCTGTCACAGGCACACAATGACACTACGATTCCCGGACGTAAGCTGATCCGATATGGCGGAACTTCGTGATTTATTGAACACCTCGATACTAATAGAAACCTACGGAGGATGAACGTGAAGCTCTTAAATCGTTCTTTTACTTAACATCTCGGCTGTACCCATGTGGAGAATGTGCTACGGAGTTCCAGGCATTATTGAAACAATACCCCCCTCAGGTATGTATGAGCCTATAGCTTTCCGCGTGCTGGTGTTTACGTCTTTCACATTCAGACATCATCAAGAATGGTCTCAGCTCTTTGGTATGACTATTTATGGCGCTTCTTTATCAGTGATATGTACTATTCCAGCTAACTTCTTGATTCCTTCGTAGGTTGTGCCACGTCCACAATCTTGTGAATGCGCGACTGAAGAAGCCTGAGTTCGACTGCACAAAGCTCGACGAAACATATGATTGTGGATGCGGCCCCGACGGAAAGAACTCGACGACCATCGCAAATCCAGCGGGTAAGTGTATGCCGCTACCCCCGCACCCATGCAACCCACTCAAAATCCTGTCCACTCTCGCTCGTAGAAAAGAAAGAGGGAGATAAAGATGAACTTACTGGTGCCAAGTTGATTAAAGGCGGAATAGGACCGTAGTTATCGGATATGTTTATTGGTATGGTAATATTATTCGCCCGATATACCCTTTATCACCATCCCGTCTGCGTCTGCTCGAGTGCCCCAACGAGTTGGCAGAACCACACCGAAGCGGCCCGGGCTCGGGCACATTGTTGACCGAACGATTCGCCGAGACTGCGCCCCAATCAAGACCTTAGTTGTCGACGAGCTTGTTGCTTTCACTGGTGAACCTCCTATCATGCTCCCGAGCGTCGTCCGGGTGGGGCGTTTAGGTAAATCATGCGTGAAGGCCCATTCGTCCGGGTATTTGTAGTGAGCCCATAACCGCCCCAACGAAACTGAAGGTTGGTGAGTATATAATATTGCGATTATATGCCAAGCTTTAATTCCCCATCTTCTCTATAGCATTCGTCCGCTGCCTTTGTACACTAGCACAACCGTCTTAGAGCATCAATATGGCGGCGACTGAGACGTATCGTCGGACAAAGACTCGGGATGATACGATTCCTATCGACCTGAACATTCCCGACAACTATGTTCAGCATACGCTCAAAACAACCAAGCCGCTTCCTCCAGTGACCCTAAATAACTGGTATGTTCCACTCTTAACACTGTACTGAAGCACTGTTGACACAGTTCAATTAGGTGGAAAGAACTGAACTATATCAGCTGTATCGGGCTTACCGCTACACCCCTTATCGCTCTTTACGGCGCCTTCACTACTACACTCCAAATCAAGACGTTCATATTTGCGGTATTTTGGTACTTCGTCACCGGGCTCGGTATCACCGCGGGATATCACCGTCTCTGGGCGCACCGGTCGTACAACGCATCCAAACCACTCGAGTACGCACTGGCCATGGCCGGCGCAGGCGCGTTTCAAGGTTCGATTAAATGGTGGTCTCGCGGACACCGGGCGCACCATCGATACACAGACACCGATCTCGATCCGTATAACGCTCATCTTGGGGTTTTCTGGTCGCATATAGGTATGCTCTCAAGCCGACCTCGAGCTGACTGGATTGTTAATTTCCCACTCGAAAGGCTGGATGATTTTCAAGCCTCGTCGTAAACCAGGAGTTGCCGACGTTTCCGATCTCGCTCGTAACAAAATTATCCAGTGGCAACACCGATGGTACCTTACATTGATCATTGTCATGTGTTTCGGTATTCCTACCGTCGTCCCTGGACTGCTTTGGGGAGATTGGCGCGGAGGATATTTCTACGCTGGTGCAGCTCGGCTTTTCTTCGTGCACCACGTAAGTAATCACTTTGTAAATCGTGTATGAAACTAAACCTCCTCAACTTGCAGTCGACCTTCTGCGTCAACTCCCTTGCCCACTGGCTCGGCGAAACCCCATTTGACGACAAGCATACGCCCCGAGACCATATGATCACTGCCTTTGTCACGTTCGGAGAGGGCTACCATAACTTTCACCACCAGTTCCCCATGGATTACCGCAACGCTATTCGGTGGTACCAGTACGACCCTACTAAATGGTTCATCACCATAATGTCATGGTTCGGTCTGGCGAGCCACCTGAAGGTATTCCCGGATAACGAGGTCCAGAAAGGGCAGATGACCATGGAGCTTAAACGTATCAAAACTCGGTCCGAGCAAATCCAATGGCCGAAGAGTTCGAATGATTTGCCGGTTATTGGGTGGGACGAGTGTGAGTACACCTTTTATTTCGTTAGGTATATGCGCCTAATCCAATACCGTGAACAGTCCAGTCACTCGCGAAGGAGCGGAACCTTGTACTCATCTCAGGGTTCATCCACGATATCTCGTCGTTTATTGACGAACATCCGGGTGGGAAGCATCTTCTATCCAAAAACATTGGCAAAGACGCAACCACAGCGTTTTTCGGTGGCGTATACGATCATTCAAACGCAGCCCATAACGTACGTCTTCGTCATTCATCCAGCTCTCCGGTACTAACGATAGGACCATGGATTAGTTACTTGCGATGATGCGTGTCGGCGTCCTCCACGGCGGTCTCGAACTCGAATCCGAAAAGGCCGTTCCGCCGTCACAGAAGCTTCGCATTGTTTCCCACAAGGAGCTCATGGACCTCGCCTCCACCTATTCTCATACCGATCTCGTGCGTTCTCACACCCCACCGCCTCTGTCCGACCAAGGCGTCTCGAGTGCAAGTGAAGAAGACGATATGCCCAAGACTCCCGTCGAAGAGTTGACCTTTGAACCGCCCATTGCAAAAGGATACTGAAATAATCCATACGCGTGGGCTGCCTTGAACGCGTTGTTTACAGTTATTGTAAAACTTGACCTCGAATATATGTCCTGGTGATGCTTTTGACACTTCAGCAACGATTTAAACTTCAGCTCGTCCTACATTTACAGGAAGCATAAACGTAAACTTCTGTTTTGTTACGCTTTAAGGTCTTTCAAACCGTTCACACGAACAGACTCGGCGCACCCACTCCTCCGCCCAAAGTGGATTTATTGCGACTCATATTTATGTCGATCTGTTTTGACCCACCAAAACATGATACAGTGTACAGTTCAAAAACATAGTACTTCAGCCAGGGAGTCAATAGAGAGTTTACACTTAGCCGATCGTCAACACAGATCGGTTGGAGCTATTAGTAAAAAATAAGACTAGTCTTATATAGTTAGTAATATGCTCCAAAAATTGTAGCCGATTTTCGGCTAAGTGTAAACTCTCTAATGAAGCTGCTAGGCGGTATCAACGATAAGGCAGCCAGGCGCCTACCAAAGGAGGATCGAGCCACAAGGATGTTTAGGACGGGAAACGGATGTGAGAAGCCGCGTTACAATCATCTATGCGTATTCTCATAGTACTACCACACTGAAGATACTGGAAAAATGACTAGAGCAGCCATATCCGTAATATTGAGTGCTAGATAGATGGATGTATGCGCTGGTTGAAATGATACAATAGACGCAATTGACTTGAAATATAACAACTACCACACATTATTATCAGTTGTGTGCGCACATAAATGTGATTATGGGGAGTTGGCGAACACAGCTCAGTTCTTAGTTGGTTCAAACAGAATAATTAGTGCAAGCACCAATAAGCCAGTCGACAAATTCATACCATTTGCTTGTGAGCGAGTTAATAAGACGGCTTAGCAAAGTGGTTACTGCGATTGATTCGAATCATGTGATTACTATCAATTCCTCTCTGAGGGCGTAGGTTCGAGTCCTACAGTCGTCGCTTTTTGCTCCTCAACCACTCATGTATGCGCTGTGAACCTATCCGTATCCGATCTTTCCTTTATCATTTGTTTTCGTTTCGTTTCGTTTTTCTCCATCTGCATAAGATCAGATCTCGTTACAATTGCCCTCCTGGTATGTATGAAGCATTCTTGTGAGCATTCTTCGACTCAACTGGTACAAGCTCAGCTTTTTTGCTTCGATGCTCACATATATGTTGCGCTTGAACGTCTACTTCCTCCGTCTCATCTTGCAACACACGACTGCATATCTAGCGGCGAGACACGAGTTTGAGCCGGCGAGGCGTCCGTTTGCCCTTTTATTCTATCGGAAGAGGCGGAAACTAGCCTCAGAACGACCTGTGGGCCCGGTGCTTAAACACTTCTTCCCACATTCGTGATAGTTCTGCTTTGCAAGGAAGCAGGAATCATGCGTTTTTCAGCTGGCCCATACCGCGCAACGCCTGGTTTCAGAATAGCCGTACTGTCGCCCTACCCCATTGACACTTATGACAAGGACATTGAAATGAGTCGGGTAGCGATGAGCATATTTATCAATGATTCGGAAGGGACGATGTCGAAACGAATAGGCTCAGGATATCGTCTATGAGATAAGGGGAGGACAGTGGGAGGTTTTGTGTTTGCAGTCATAGAGCATGGCGAATGAGGAAGCAACAAGACGGCTTAGCAAAGTGGTTACTGCGATTGATTAGAAATCAATTCCTCTCTGAGGGCGTAGGTTCGAGTCCTACAGTCGTCGATATGTCGGTGCTACTCTTTTTTGCTCTGATTCAGGCATTCCTTCTTACTATGATCGTTCCCCTGAAGTCACTCCCTTTTTGTTCTCCTGTGTACGCATCATTACACATGTTTTCTTCGTTTTTTTTTTTTCCCGGAAAGTTGGCTTCCGCCGTTGCCTAGCTGGCCATGCTCCGTCTGAACTGGGATTCAAGGAGGAAGTCTATGGATCTCAAGGCATACCGAGTTCAAGTGGATATATGCGACTGTGGTTTTATGCCTTCGTGGAACCTTCCTGCGTCCTCATTAATGTGTCTAGAAACGCAACTGTTATCAGATAAGTTCCCGGTCCTCTGCCTAGCCTAAAGTTCGGTCTCTACACTTCCGTCGTACTCGCAAACACACAAAGTGAGGTATAATACAGAATAACACACCCGACAGTATGCAGGGCGTTGAACCACGCATAGGGGTTCGTTTATCCTCCCATATAGTCCCATGAAGTAGGAGTATCAGCCGGGACCCATCGTCTTGACCTGAGATCGATTTCAGACTTCACCGACAAGTTTACATCGAGTTGAAACTAGTGCGTTGTCCAGTACGCCCAAACGTCAACGGGTCGTCTCAGGAGTTCTACGGGATGCGGACCATGGCCATGGCGCGCAAACTTCAGTTCAGCCAACAAAAAGCTGGCTGGGCCGCGATGCGAACGAGAAGATGGCAGTGGAGTGGACGGGGGCGGATAACCCTACAAGCAGAAAGGGAGATAGAAGTAGTAATATATCATGTCTGAAGTTGTTCACGCATAGGTAAGTTGAGCGAAAAGCGGTCTCTGTTGAGAGCTGTCAAGGCCGAGCTTGTCACAAAAGTAGGTGCATAGAGTTAGATGGAACTCGGTCTGCTCACTCGGAGAATGTGGTCGTTTCACTTGGCCCAAGTCCGTTGAAGTAGATGGGACTGAACACCCAGTTCGTTCTCGCCACCAAGCTTTTCTACCATTCTTCTTATCTGAAGACTAAACTGTCTCTTCTATCGATATCATTCATAAAGTTGACATTTTAGGATGGAGCGCAAACAAATACATACCGGTTCCTGACATGCTGCTGTGCCATCATCCCGTCTAATCGTGACGCTCCCAGGCCCAATCGACCAACTGATGGCGAAGAAAGGAGTGGCAACATCCCGTCCACCCATCCTATGCAGACAGAACCCGAGAGAAGCCGTAACTTGGAACTCTGACGAAGCTTATTGTGGTCCAACTGACAGCACACACGACCAAGGCAAGAGAAAAAATGTCGACGAGAATGCACATCGCGCAACGTGCATGTCCCTGATTTAATCTGATGCAGCTTTAGAAAAAGTTAGACGGCCTCGAAGTGGGCCAAGCACCAAGAGGTGAGATGGTGTTGGCCCGTCATCTGAAGCGTGGCGAGTGGCGATCCGGCTTCCGGATATGGAATTTGCAATACTTCTGGCTATTGTCCGGACTATGAGAAGCGGGCGGGTTGGACCTGGAGCCAAACAAGCCAGCCGAGTCGGTCACTCATCCTCAATTGTCGGGCGCACAATAACCAGTACGATCGACCTCGTTGCAGACGATTAAATAGTGCTCCTCGCCGCGATGTGCTCAGCCAGACCTCCTCCCCTCCCCTCCCCGCTCCCGCTCGATCACAGAGCTTATTGTCGCTGTCTCACTTTTACTGTGGCCTTTTTCTACCCGCTTGGTCTACTACGTTCTAGTTCTTCCACTTGATCTCGACCATGGCCTCCAACTCGTTTGCTCGTCGTCTCTGGGCTGTTCGCCAGACGCTCTTCCCGTCGTTTGAGGAGAAGGGATACCACCTCCAGTTCCGCCATGGCACGCTCAGTACGTCTTTGCTTCTCGCTAATTAATTTCTCGCGCTAATTTCGATATCCAGTCACGATCATGCTCATGTGCGCGTCGTTCACTCTCCCGGCCAACCCCCAGACGAGGCCGTTCCCCATCTCGGACTACTCTCCTGATCCTGAGATCCCTGTCGAGTCTTCCTACAACTGTAAGTTGTCCTCGTCTCTTCATACTACTCTCCTCTAACTCCTTCGGCTACAGTGGTCCACCGGTTCGTGAGCGGCATCATGTGGTACAATGTCGGAGCCGCAGCCTTTGTCGCCCTCCACCTCATCGCCGAGCCTCAATTCAAGCGCGGCGCACCCGTCTGGTTCGAGCTCTTTTGGATGTCGATGCTCGTCATCGGCGAGCTTGTCTGCCTCGGCCTCATGGGATCCTCCCGTCCGGCCGTCTGTAACTTTAATTTCGGCGTCGACGACACGATTGTTCTGGACGGCAAGTTTACGCCTATGAACTCGGCTACGTCGATCTGCAGCAACTGGCGCGGTATGACTGGACTGTTGGCGGCTATCGTGTCTGTCTGTGAGTACCTTCTTTTCCCCATCCATTCTTGTTTATATTTACTAACGTTGCATGAACAGTCCTTCTCCACATGACCTGGCACCTCATCGTCTCAATCCGCTACCTCAACCAACGCCGCAGCGTCTTTGCCCTCCCCATCACCGACTACCGCTGGACCCTCCCCAAGGAGCGCGTCCGCGTCAACGAGACCTTCCCAGCCGACGTCGAGTCCTCGCCCAAAGAGACTAAACAAACCCACGGCACCGACTCGTTCGACTATAGCGCTCCGTCCTTCCCTACCTCATCCGATTACAAGGGCACCACCACCGCGACGACCGATACGCTTTCTTTCCCTGCTACCGTCGGAAACGAGGACTATAACAACTACTCTCGTTCGGCTGGTCAGAGCAAGATGGACGCGCTCCCGGCAAAGAAGCAGCCGGTTGTGCTCGAGCAATCCACGATCGCTCACTCGGATACGTCGTCTATCGCTGAAGGGTCCTCGCCCACTACCGGATCGCCGTTCTCCAACTATGCTCGCCGCATATAAAATATCCCCTTATCTGTTCATACTTTATATGCGTCTGCGTTCTGTTCTTCGGGCATCGTGTGGATATTCGCCTCCCTGACTTATTTTGACTCGATCTTTTGTTCGGCATTGCATGTACAAAAACTAAGCACATGAAACTCCTCCCACTACTACTTCACTCGCTCCTTAACTTTGCTTTCTTTGGTTTTTCCAACTTATCACCACCCGGCCTGGTGCGCGGTGTCATGATTCCAACGCGCTCCTTGTCTTGGTGTATTTCTTTATCTCTGTATCATCCTCTGTTTGTGTATCTCCTCTATTGTCTCTTTTGTGATTTTTTTCTTGGATATCGTTGTTGTAGATTCGTAAATGGATAACAAAAAGGTGTATCTTCGAAACCAAAGTGTTTGCGTGTTACCATTCGTGGACCGTTGTATGAGTGACAGAAATTGGGCGGGATGATGGTGCGAATGACTGACAATAAGAGAGGATAGCAATTAGATAGGCAAAGGTCCCGAGTCGAACAATAAATGCAGAGTTAGAATTGAGACTAGTGCGGGGATGAACGGAGCGTATAGCGAATGAGAAAAAAAGACACACAGACCACTACAACGACGACTGTAGGACTCGAACCTACGCCCTCAGAGAGGAATTGATTTCTAATCAATCGCAGTAACCACTTTGCTAAGCCGTCTTATTGGCTATTCGTCTCTTACGTTTACAAGCTGTTTGTAAGCCCGCGCAAGCTGAACACTGGTCGGTCTAAGAGCATTTCACCGCGTTCGAGTGTTGACGTTTACCAAGGAGGCCATAGCTAGAAGCGGCATGTTTCGTGCCACTGAACTTGCTTCCGTTGAGCGCTCACTATTTGTAAGCTCTGAGATAGTACTCTCGAATACTTCGACTCTACTCCTGAGCCTCGAGTTGGACTCGCGCAATCCGACACACAGCATATAGTTACAGTGTTATTTTCAAGTATTGAAAGGCCGAGGATAGGATTCCCAGACTCGGCCACGCATAGATACAACTTATCAAGAGTATGTTAATACAGGCGAAAGATCATCTCGAAAAGCTGAATAAATGAAAAAATTGAAAGATTATAAAGCCCTCGCCGCCTGGTTGCAAGACGTAACCGTACGGCAAAGTCTTTGGACATGATTTGGCCAGGATTTATGTCTACTAAACTTGAACACGAGAGTACTCAACATATAAAATGTACGTTACCCGCTTGTAGAGACGGTATATTGCTATTTTATGCTAAATATATCACGAAAGTTCCAGTACCTACCGCACGTGTACGCCACTCCCTTACACGGGTATAGTTCCCAGTACCCAGAGAACCTGTTGTG